TTATTTGACATGGTCGATTTGCGCCGATGTTCTCGATAATCCACGTGGTATATTTAATTCGCGTAATTTCGCAGACGATTTTTTTTTTCGGTAGTCACTGCTACGGATTGCGCGATTTTTAATATTTTTTTTGATGTGATGTTTTACGAAATGCGAAAAAGGAAATAATTAGTGTGTTTTCTTGTTTAGTAAAATGTGAGAATCTCGCCCATGATACCAGAATAAAAAAATATTACATATTAATTTAAAAATTAAATACAATTATATTTTATTCAAATAGGTTTTTTTTAAACACAACGTTTTTGTTACTTTTAATTTAGTGAGTAACATGTATATTTGTTATTATTAAAAGCATCTTGTAGTTAGTGCTAGAGAGGTTTGTCGCAGAAAGAAACTCTGCCACGGGCATTGCTGTAACTTGCAGGGATTGTTAATTTTTAGATAAGGAGCATAAAAGAAATAATTTGATATATTATTTATGGTATATAACATAAAAAATTAGATTTATTTTGAATAATCTCTTAAATAAACTTTTTGCGCTACATTTTCCTTAAACTGAAAGATTATTTGTAAATTTCAACGCCATTTATATTTCTCTTCAAATTGAATGGAAAAAATTTACACATTTTGCAACTTATTTCCATACTGAGTAGAAAAGGTAAGTTTTGGCACCCTATTTTAAAATTTTCCCCCTTCAAGAGTTTTTAATTGATCTGGATAGTGTGTCAAAAGATGGTTTCATAAGATGGTCGTCAAAATTATAGCGCATGGAAAAATGTCAATTTCCAGATCGAAGCAAAATTTTTGATTTGTGGAAAACACGTTTTTGTAATAAAAAAGCAAAATAACACTAAAAATATCAAATATTTTACAAATTCTTATGATTTTAATAATTAATATGCTTTTTTACATCAGAACTAATTATATATAATTTTAGCAAGTTATGGTAGTAGATATCAGAAGAGGTGGAAGAGAATACGGTATTACAATAAAAAGAATCAGAAAAATTGCCATTAAATCTACAATTATTTTATTTTTCATAAATTTACTCAGTTAAATGATGAATATTGATAAGATATACACAGAGCTTATAAAACTAAACAAAAGGAATTAAAAGTATTATGAGTAATAAATTCTAAGTTATGAGTAATAATGAGTACAAATACTTAAAATTATGAGGTTTTAGGTGACAATAGAAATGTAACGAAAGGAGCGTGGCACGAAGGTGAAAAAAACAAACTAGCTTATAGCTTGCTCGCAATTGCTTAAATACGAAAAATTCTTTTTGCACGTGATAGAGTATTATTTAATTAATATAAAGCAGTCAAAATTAGAAAATTGATTTTTCGAGGGATCTTTACGATTTTGGATGCCCACTTTAGCTTTAACAGTCGAAATCTTTTTCTTCTTAATCAATATCAATTGTTATTTGGTCTTTAATAAACAGTTAAGTACAATTAATTAAATTGAAAGTGAAATTTCTTACTAAGCATTTGAAATGCAAATAATAACAAAATAAAAAAATATATTTTAAAATTGCTGTTTAATTTTTAAAATAATAAATTGCATCAAAATGTGTTTGTCAATTAAAATATAAAACATATTATAAATATTAATCCAAAAATTCACTTAAGCAGAATTAAAATTTTCGGAAAAATTTCATTTTTCAATATCACAATAATCTTGTCTTTAATTGTATTGTCTTAAAATCATCTTATCTGTATTATAAAAATAAAAGTTAAAGCTATTTCATTTATATAGATTCACTATGATTGAGATATATTATTTGAGTATTTATAATATTGCATGGCAAAAAAAATTTTTAATAAGTTACTCTCGATATTTCAAAAAAAAAAAATTTTAATTTTTTTTTCAATTGGATAAATTAAAACAATCATGAATAAATATTTATTTTACTGAATTAGTACAAAGGTATTTAAATTGTATTCAATTTGATTCTTTAATAATTTCATATTTCATAAATAAGTAATTCTATTAATAACATGTCTTTAGAGAGGAAAACACCTGCATTAACTGTTAGTTTATTGAAATAGACGCATTATTCTTTTATAAAATAAAACAAAGCAATTGAAGTTTTCGATATAGACATTTCTAATGATATTTCTCTGCAATTAAAAGGGCAAAATTCTACGAAAGCAAACGAAATAATAAGAGATTTAAAATATTCTTTTAACATTCTTTCAATATAAACTTTTATTTGCACTTAGTATTGTTTGGAGTCTATTTATATCTAATTCTATGCAGCCATACTTTTCGTTGTTCTTTATTGTGATCTTTAACAGGTAAAAAAAAAGTTGTTTGTATAGTAAGAGTCATCAGAAAATCAGACCAACTTAAGCAATAGAAAAATCAGCAAAACAAAATCAATTGGGTATAATATAGCCTACGTCACAGGTTGTGTTTTTCCTACTAAATTTAACCCATGAACGGCATTTTCTGCGAGCCTAACTTCAAGCCACAAATAAACAAACGAAGTGTTCGATCGTTTAAATAGCTGCTCGCCAGATTTTATTGCATTATAAAGAAAAGTTATTGAAACTAAATACAACTAAATAAACAACAACAACTAAAACAAATAACAACAACTACTAATAACAATAACTAAATAAACAACAACTAAATTCCATTCGTTTAGCATTGCGTCATATGTTGTTCCTACTAAATCGAAGTAGTTGTGTTTTTTTCATATTATACCCAATTAAAAAAAAAAATGCAAACGACATTTTTGGAACTATCTTAGGAGTTGATTGATTCCAACCGAGTTTTTGCGAAAAAAAGTGAAAAACCCGAAATGGGAAGTATGAGATGGGTAATAGTTTGAAAAGACGATCATCTGTGACGATTTTTTAACGCTGAGGTCGGCGGTAAAAAAAAGAATCCATTTTTGTTACGCTTTATACAAATCTTTCTAAAACAACTGAAACGCATTAAACTATTTTATGTTAACAAAAAATATTTAAAAATGTAAAATATTTAATATTGATGTCAATTTAACATTAAGAATAATAATTTTGTTTTCATTATGCAACAACTAGGTTTTCAAAACAACGAAAATAGCCTTTCTCCATGAACTGCATTAAAATCCCTTTTCGACTTCGTCTAAGAAGTCGCTTGTACAAATCTTTTATGCATTGAATGAAATTGAGAACTGGATCAGGTACGCAGGACTCAACTTAAACTCAGCAAAATAAGAATCAAAGATTTATTTGGCGAACATTTTGCTTCCCCTTTTATCTTATTTTTAAAAGGCTATTTTTATTTCAATTCATACTATTAGTTTCCCAATCTCCCTATTTATATTTATATATCTTGTTCACATTTTCAATCTTTAATAAAATACTTTTTATTCATACACTCATCTTCAAATACATTGTTTTACAACTTGGAGTAGAGGGCACTTGATGCTAATACTGTTTCTCCAAATATTAATTCATTTATTAAATTTAATTAATTAATTTTAGTTTTACAAGGGAAAAAAAATTGTGATTATTTAATAAAAAGAAACTAAAATAAAATCTTTCCTTGTTGACCTAAGTAGGAATTAACTTTAATTTTTTTTACTTGTTTTGACTAATTGTCAAATTTTCGTAACATTCCATTTTTTTAAATTTCCAATGACCAAATTTACAGAAAGACTTCTACACCACAAAAGGTGAAGAACAAAAATAAAATAAAAACAGGGGTAGCCAGAGAAAGTATATAAAATAAGTTCCATGCGCACCAGTAACGGTCAAACAAAGAGATGTCCTTTAGTACCAGACAACGTCGCAGGTGGTCTGCATCCCTCTTTTTCCTGAAGATCTCAGCAAAAAAGGGCTGGTACAACATGAATTCAATGAAGATGTTTAAGGAGGCAGTCGTGTCCAGTGGCCAGTAAAAACACGGCGGCTGCTTTTCTGCTTGGCCGTTTAGGGAGATCTTGGAGATTATTCCACCAGAACTTTCCGAAATGTCTCTCTGTGATTTGGTTTTTCGTGAGGTCTTAAATCTTTTTCTTGATTAGGCGCTAAGCATTTAGTTTTATTTTATAACCTTCGTCGAACAGCCGACCCAATTTTTTTGATTTCCGACTACTAATATTCAACTCCGTATCCTTGTCATTTTAAACCCAATCCAGGGAACTCCTGGATCTAGCATTGTGAGAAAGTTGCCTTCGTGGACGACTGTTTGGTGGAATTAACCCGCATTTGCGTTACATGGAGANGACCACTGAGGATATTTTACGTCATCACTGTGTTTGACGCAAGCCGGATGCGAAATTCGTATCTAGCAGCCATTGCTGATATTCGAACTCTGGTCACCTCATTGGAAGACGAACTATTCTCTGAGCTACCCCGGCTCAGGCGGTTAGCATTAGTAAGGGAGAGAGCTTTCCCTGATGTTTGTAGGATAGACATTTCATGTCGCATCATTTCCTGTACCATTTATTTGTAAGGCCTGTCTCTGGAACTGCTGCAGCAATGGTTAGTAAATTAGTGTCTACGGATAGAAAAATATCTACAAAATGAGACAGCTTACCACTCCTTGGGGTAAAAAATAAAATGCCGAATGAGTATTATGTAAAAAAACAGGAAGAAATATTGTAAAAAAGGGAATTCAAAAAATTTTGAGTATCATTATTGATATAGTTCGAAAAGAAATTTTGTAAACGTAACGGTATTTGTTAAGGATTCCTTACACCGAGACGAAAAAAAAAATCTTAGAAGGAATAAAAAACAACCAGTTATCACCTTTTTCTTCAATTATACAAACCTCTCTTAGGCTTTTTACGTCGAAAATAAAGGTATTTTGTGATACCGTGTACTCCAAATCATTTCACAATGTCGCAAAGTATAAGCAACATGCGAATTTTAAGCATTTATGTTCACACTGTGCGCGAATTTGTTCTGAACAGTTTAAAACGCTTTAATTCGTAATGTTTATTACATGTATGTGAAATTGACATTTTTGTTTCAGAAAATCCAGACGGATGAGAGAGAGAGGGTAGTTCAATGACTGCTCGACATGGAGCTGAACAGTACAGCTTATGAAGTTCTTCCAGGTTACGTATCCGATCTAGATTTCGATTGTTTCTTTCCCTCTAACGACACCGATGAGAACTACACCTGCATCTACGATGGTCCAAGCATCAGGATGCCCAAGGATCCCTCGTACTATTCGCTCAAGTACCAGATTGTCGGCACACTCTTTCAAGGAATCGTTTTGATAGTGGGCGTGCTGGGCAACATCATGGTCGTCATTGTCGTCACGCGTACCAGAAGCATGCACACGCCCACGAACTGCTACCTTGTGAGTTTGTCCATTGCTGACTTCATGACGCTAATTGCTTCGGTGCCCAACGAGATCTTGGCTTATTATTTGCTCGGAGACGAATGGATTTGGGGCAGAGTGGGGTGTGCTCTCTTCATTTTCTTCCAGTACCTTGGAATAAACGTTTCGTCTTTATCTATAACAGCATTCACGGTGGAACGGTACATAGCTATCTGTCATCCCATGAAGGCGCAGATAGTCTGCACGGTGAGTAGGGCTAAGAAGATCATCATTGGGGTGTGGATATTTGCGTGTCTCTATTGTAGTCCGTGGCTCTTCCTCACTAAAATCAAACCTTTGCACTACAAGGGACTGGAATCCAGGGAGACATGCACGTTTGCACTAGGCAGGAACAGTTATTTAGGATATTACTTCACGGACATCATCCTATTCTATGTCTTTCCCCTCATCCTCTCCTGTATTCTCTATGGATTAATTGCTCGCGTGCTCTTCTCAAGAAATATTCAGAACGGAAAATCGAACGGAATGATGACGCCCCAAGAACAGAGGAAATCCTCGCCGAATGCGACCAATGCCAGGGCTCAGGTAGGTGATCCTTTTTATTTTTAAAGTGATAGTCTTATTAGATTGTTGTACTTGTAGTTCATTTACGGCGCACTAGACCTGCACAAAGGGCCATTGGCGACGGAATGGCAAAAATACATTTCGAACTGTGTCCATGTTCTTAAACATGTATTTCCAGCTATGTCTAAAATAAGAAGCACATCGAGGATTTTTACCATAAATGTCGTTATTTAACAATATACTAGATATTATCCTCATTTATAAATTTTTCTTTAAACAAACACTTAGCCTTTTTTAACTTATTGAATTACTAAAAAAATTATATAATGAAGCATATAATATTTGAGGACTCTCAATTAAAAAAAGAAAAATACTTTTATAAACAAATTATAAATTTTTTTTCATAAACAGATAAGATACATATAAAGTAGTATATTTTAGTAGTAATTGATAACTAGAGAATAAGAATTAACGATTTAGTACTAGAGAATAAGAATAAACGATGAAAATGAAAAAATAAATCACTCTTTTTTGTAATTTATTTTTTAGACATTTATTTTTTGTCATTTATTTCTGAATTCCTGCTCACGTTGGCATTAAGGGAAATGAGGGAGCAGACGTTCTTGCTAAGGAAGTCACCCCCCCCTCCCGTCCGAGACTTGCATCATCGTTATTGCTGCAGTTGCCAAGCGCAAATTTGTAAAAGGAATCTTCTAAAAAACATATTTGTGGTGTTTTCAAAACATTGTAAACAACAACAATTTCGAGTTCTTGACCTGCGGTTACAAATTATACAGCTGCTTACTGCAGCTTATTCTGCGAGGTGATATTTTCAAACAGACAGTTTTGTTTTTAATAAAAGAAATAATTTATATAATTTTTGAACAAAAATTATCTTTATTTCATAAGAAATTAATGATATAATGTAATTCTGGGGGAGTTTAAAGTGAAAATTTGTTTCGGTTATTTATAGATGTATCGCTAAAAAAGGTGACATGGCTGCTAGATTTAGAAAGAACTCGCTTTTTTGGTAGTCATGATTTGGCCTCTTTTTAGTTTTTTAGAACTGTTTTTGTTACAAACTGTGCGCCATCATACGTTAGTTTTAGCATATTGTTCGAGCAGCGAGATTTTCATTTTGCAAATTATCATTTACGTTAAATTTCGAAACTGGCATATTGCTGACAAGGTAAGAAGTGTATTAAAACGATTATTTTTTTCAAAGAATGGCTCTTACATCTTGAAATGACAGGTCTTCAAATGACAATTCTTATAACGATTCTTTTATTCAAAGAATGATTTTTACATCTTAAAATGACAGGCCTTCAAATGACAATTCTTATAACGATTCTTTTTCAAAGAATGATTCTTACATCTTGAAATGACAGGCCTTCAAATGACAATTCTTATAACGATTCTTTTTTTCAAAGAATGATTCTTACATCTTGAAATGACAAGCCTTTAAATGACGATTCTTATAAATATTCTTTTTTTTTTCACAAAATGATTCTTACATCTTGAAATGACAGGCCTTCAAATGACAATTCTTATAGCGATTCTTTTTCAAAGAATGATTCTTACATCTTAAAATGACAGGTCTTCAAATGACAATTCTTATAACGATTCTTTTATTCAAAGAATGATTTTTACATCTTAAAATGACAGGCCTTCAAATGACAATTCTTATAACGATTCTTTTTCAAAGAATGATTTTTTCATCTTGAAATGACAGGTCTTCAAATGACAATTCTTATAACGATTCTTTTTCAAAGAATGATTCTTACATCTTGAAATGACAGGCCTTCAAATGACAATTCTTATAACGATTCTTTTTTTCAAAGAATGATTCTTACATCTTGAAATGACAAGCATTTAAATAACGATTCTTATAAATATTCTTTTTTTTTCACAAAATGATTCTTACATCTTGAAATGACAGGTCTTCTAATGACACCTGTATTCTTTTCGTCTCTAAGGACGAAATAACGATTCTTTTCCAACGATTCTTTTTCTAAACACAAAATATGAATATGGTAACAAATATACTTATACAAGAAATACAGCCCAAGAGAGTCTCAAAACACAATGATCACGTTGCGAGCTAATTGGCTTCAAAATACACCGGAAACAATAACCCGGAAGTATAGACAGTAAAGAGCTCGCAAACCATCCATCAAAACTCCGAAGACGACACTTTAAGGACAACTCCAGACCAGGCTATTAGCAAACCCCAATTAGCGCCAGAGCATGCATTCTAGCTACACTCGTATCACTTGTGAAACTCATCCGCTAATTAGCACTGATGTAGACAACAATAACTCTAGCAAGTAAATTAAATTTTTTTCAAAAGTCAATTCCTACTTAGATCAACGGAGAAAATTTTTACTTTAGTTAGTTTTAAGAAATAATTATAACTTGTCTCCCATATAAACATAAAATTAATTAATTAAATTTAATTAATTAATTAATTGAAAAAGCTGTATTAACATCAAGTGTCATCCATTACAAGTTTAAAAACATGTATTTGAACACTTTAGTGGATGAATAAAAAAGTATTTTATTAACGATTGAAAATTTGAACAAGATAATAGGAAGAGTGTTAACTTTTTAGTTGGAATTGAAAAAATACTATAGTTATTTTCATACGAAAATTGTTTGATAACTGGAGAATTTTTTTTTCATTATCTCCCTTTACCGCAGAATTCAACAGGGAATCAGTTTTATTCTTACTTTAACCTTTTAGCTGTAATGCCCGAAATAATCACGGGCACAGAAAATAATGCTCCTTTATATGCGAACTTTATCCCTGCCAGGCAGAGTGGTAGCCGCCTCAAGCGAATACGCAGTGACTACAAAACCTTAAAATTTTAATGCATGCTATTCAAAATATCACTTTTTAACTACTAAGTATATTTTATTTTCTACTAAACATTCGATTTTTACAATAAAAGCTATTGACAATTTAAGTATCCAAATCATTAAAATAACTCAACATTTCTCTCTCTCTCTCTCGTATGCCTGTTAAGGCAAAGGGGTGCGATTGTTCTTGTTTTCCAGTGACGCCATCTATGACCGAGAATTTGAAATAGAATTAGAATTCTGACACACCCATACGTCACACTCGTTTACAGGGCGGACCCATTCTTACATCCATTTATTCATCCACAGATCGTAATTTTGACCTGAATCAGAGAACGATCAATTACCAATCTAGTACCACCAGAGGTTTTTTATTTTATCTTATTTTATACCCGTCGTTGAACAGTCAACCCAATTTTATGGCTTTAAGACCATTAATGTTCAACTCCGTAGTTTTGTAATTTTGAGCCCAATTCAGAAGACAAGGGAACTCCTGGATCGAGTATTGGGGGAAATTTGACTTCGTGGAGGACTTTTTGATGGAGCTAGCCCGCATTTGCGTTACATGGAGAGGAAAACCACGAGAACCTGCCACGATTAGCCTGATTGCAAGGGGACATATTTCACGTAAGCACTGTGGTCGGTGCAAGCCGGATGTGTAATTCATATCGACTGAGATTCGAACCCCAGAGGTACAGATTTGTTATGGGAACATGGTGGACTTTGCGTCTCGACAGATTTAACGTGTACCAGTGTAACCATTTACAACACATGCCGGCGGTATTCGAACCCACGAACTCTCGGACATGGGCAGAGAAATCTACCGACCGGGACTTGAAATTTAAAAGGTTAATATTAATTTGCGCATTCTTTTATTCTGATATTAAGAGCAGGAAACGCTTTCTTAACTGACTAGATTACTTTTCGAATCTTAAAGGAATCGAAATTAAAGGATAGTCAAGCAAATGAAATGAATGATTCATTAATTTATTAGTCAGATAAAAATCCTTATGATTTCCTAGAAACGACGGCTCTTTTTTTGTTCTTCTAATTAGTTTAAAATGGGAGAAATGTGAGTAGATAAATAATTCTTATGGAATTCGAACTTTTTCTCTAGTTCTTTACGTGTTATACCGAGGAAATTAGATTTAGCGGAAGTTCCCCGTTCTTGTAATAGAAATAAGAGAGGGCAAAATAAACATCCATTAAAGGAAAGTTTTCTTTTTTCATACGAGGCTAATTTGCATTCCGTAAGCTTGTTAAAAACAGCGGGGCGAGTTTCTAAAAGTGCTTTAAGGGAATGTTTTAAATAAGTAGAATCAGCTGCTTAAATGCATCGGTAAAAGACGAATAATATTTGGTTAGCTTTGAGAATTTATATCTAATTATTTTATTTATTTTTTATTAAAAAAGCACGTTCTTGGAATATTGTATAATTTGATATCATTTAATGTAATAAGAGTTCGAAATCGGTGAACAAATTTTCTATGCGACATAAAAAAAAATCAAAAATAAAATGTATATATATGCAAAATATTTACAACTATTAAGCAATATATAATAATAAAAATAACATAGTGATTTTAGTTATTTTAAATAACATAGAAACCGGGGGCAAAATTATAAAAGCTGCCAACAAAGGCAACACCCAACTCAAGAAAATGTTCTCGAGTTGTGATATGCGAGCTCTGCTATGGTAGGGGTTTTATTTTTATTTGGTTCGCGAGTCATAGTTGGAACACATATTATATTTACATGTAAATATACTAATCTTTTTAGCATTTTTACTAATTAGCATTTAAAAAAGTAAAAACAGCGTACAACCTTTACATATTTTTTTTTCAACATAAACATTTGTTTCATATTTTCATTTAGTTTTTACATTTTTATTATCCAAAATAAGCACATTTTAAATTACAACATAAACATTTGTTTCATATTTTCATTTAGTTTTTAAATTTTTATTATCCAAAATAAGCACATTTTAAATTTCATGCAAATATCTTTGTTAGTTTTGCTGTAATTGCTTAGTTTGACTTCGTACATAATTTGGGAGTCACATATATTAAGAAATTACTTGAGGAAAAAAGAAAATCTGATACATAATTACTGAGAACTGAAAAAATCCTCATTAACTACGAATGGTTAGAAACACCATGGGA